GTAATCTTCCTACACTTTAATGCTTTGACCACCTTCAGGTAAAGCTCTGAGCAGAAGAGCAAGAAAGCTTTAATCAACAGTTATGCTGGAATCAATTTGCACTGGAAGACAGACTTTTATACGTTGGCACTGAAAGAGGTGCTGATACAACTGCTCCTTGAAGGGGAACATCTGGAATTACGACCTAGATCACTAAACTGTAGATTTATCACTCTCAAGAGGCAGGATGCTTTCTCCAGACTCCCTTTTCATGCTTGTATGCAGCCTTGCTGTAGCAGTACTGATTTATTTTCACATAGGCATGACTGGAAATCACATGTGCATTTGCACAAGGAAGGGTATATACCCTAAAAAGAAAAGCATGAGTTATCTGGTATCAGCAGAGCACCCATGTTAGAGCACTATGTATGTTATGGCAGCATCCATCGCCCAAAGCATCTGGTGGGATGGAGTAGCAGCCAGACCACATTACCACACAGGTAGGACCAACCGGCTAAGGGATGGATGAAAAGCAACATGTGCCCTGCCCACAGGAAAGAGAAATGATACAACCAGCACCGCTTTCTCTCATCAACATCCACCCCTAAAACTGGTGCAGTAGCTAAAGCTTCACCCGCAGGCTTTCAGCAGTTTAAAAAACTGAAATCGGACGAGGGAGAAGAGACGAGAAGGCCAAGCGAGAGCAGCGAGGCGTTTCCCTGCGCGCGGCGCACGGCAGCCGTGCGCAACAGGCCTGCGGATGCGGAGACGCCTCCAAGCTGCGCCGGGCCGTCGCTAGTCGCCGCGTGGGCGAGGGCCATGAGCAACCAGGGAGCAGTTTTCCCTTTCCGTCTTGCTTTTTGCTAAACCAAATCAATGGAACTGAGAGCGCTCCACAGACTCTACCCACAGCTACAGATTCCTTTCACTGACCTTTCCGGGGCACCTGCCGACCTTTGCTTTCGTGCCCTTACTCTCCCAAGTCACCATCGTTCACATGAGCACTGAAGCCAGCATCACACACACAAGTGCCAGTACTGCACCCTTCTGCTATGACAGACAACATAAAGTAGCTTGACCTTCTCTCTTTCTTTGTCTGAGCAAAAGTTACTCAAAACCAAAGCTACTTTCTTTGAGTTTTCGGGAACAATATAATTTCAGATGCTTGGAGTTTTATTTTTAATTAAATATTAAAATATGATCAAGGAAACATCAAAGCAATAAATAGTGTTTAAAAGGTTTCCAAGGGAATTATTTTGAATGCATGGTTTTGCTGTAAGCTTTGACATGAACGTTTTTCCCATTTTGCTCTTCATTAAGCAGGAACACCATGTGAAAAAACAGCAGGCATTAATGACCTGAGTCTCTTCACAGAGAATTTTCATGAAAGTTGATTTTAAGGCACTCTCATAGTCCACCTCTCAAATACCACCAAAACTGCCATCAGAACCAAGGTCTTTATTACAAAGTGGCTTTGAACTCCTGTTTTACCTGGCAACAGTGGAAGAGTTTGCAGAAGAAGAGAAAGAGCACACCGAAGCGGCAGAACTGGTAAACATTTTGCCTAACGCAAACACATGAAACCACAACGCTAGAAATGTCCAAAGGCGCTCGGTAGAGAAACTGAACCGGGTAAGCGCTGGTGCGAGGCGGGTCCAAGCTCTGCCTTCCTCTGCCTGGACACGGGGCTGCCTTGGAGGGCAGTGGTCGCTCTCTCGCGGACGCATCTTCTCCACCGCCAGCAGTGTAAAGACCACTTGTCACAGTGTCACTGCCGACAGCTGAGCATCGGCCCCGATTTCCACAAAGCTTGCCTTCTCTTTTCACAAAGTTGGCTTAGAGCTTGGTGGCCACTCAAGAAATACTGGGTGCTCGTTTGTATTTCTATGCTTTTCTAAGGCTTTCAAAACAAGTTACATGAACTGCACTTAGTCAGCAGAGTGACAATTGGTAGAACACCATTTGTGGCCTGGAGGTAACCATAATGATTTATTTAAAATCTGACTACACCGCTTGCTATGCTGCCTAAGAAAGATGTCCTAGCAACAAACGGTGGGGTTGAATGGGGCACAGCTCAGTCTGTCCTGCAGCGAGCAATCTTCCATATGAAGGGATGTGGAGAAACAACTCTTCTTCTGGCCGTGTGCACACTGGCTCCAAAACCAGCAGAAGATTTGGAGGAGGAAATTGGCAGTAGCAGTTGTAGCTTAGGCATCCATATAAGCACACACCATTTGTGACTTACAACCCACACAAATAGTAGGAAATCTACCAGTTCAGGCACACTTTATACTGCTGAAATATCCACAGTTTTGTTTATTCAGCCTCAAAGCAAAGATAGTTTCCACATATGCTCTGTTTAGAGACTATCCCATCCTTGTTTACATGAAACATTCTCCTTCTGTCATGAAACCTTCCACTTGTTTATAGACTGGGCTGGACGTGGACTTTTCTCTTGTATTGATCTCTTTTAAAAAGGAGAAAGAAAATATAAAAACTTACATTTAAAAATGTCATCAGAATAAGCTCTTGAAAGATTAACTGCACAAAAAAAAAAACCCCACCTCTGTATGCAGCCTTCAGCATGAGATAAGCTTATGCACATAGATTTATGACATAAGTTCTCAAAGAGTTTTTAAACTGCAAGAGCAAAATCTGGTATCCCTGATCTTTTTCTAATCAGCGTTTAGGTCCACTTGGGGATTCTTTTCTGCCTAAAATAAATTACTGGGGAAATGGCTTCCAACTAATCCAAAATTTAGTCAGTGATTTCTCTCTCTACATAACTTTTTTACTGTTTTGCTAATCAGTGAAGTTACCTACAGACACTTGTTGAAACAGATGGACGCTACTCAAAACTTCACCAACATGCAGCTCTGTCCGTTGGTTTCCAAAATACAGCTTTAAGCAGACATGAAAGTTTTGGACTCTAACACACTGATCTATGTTAACTTTAGAGTATGACTTATGCTTTCTTTAAAAAAACCCACAGAATCATGAATTTACATTCTACAGATTACTCTGTAATACACAACACCTTCTTTGCCATGCTCAAAAAATAAAAGATCAAGCAGACATTCAAATATCAGTTATATAATACTTCATTTCAAATTAAGCATCTAGAAACTGAGATCTTTACCATGAACTTCAAAAAAGGGAAGGAAAGAAAAAAATAATAAAATATGTCTGTACGCCAAAGTAAGTTTTCAAGCATTCAAAATGAGCACCTACAGCAAGGTTCACTTGCCCACGTGCAGACATCTGCATGTGGGTTAGACGTTCGCACTAGCTGATTGGGACAGACAGACACGTGGCTTGAGGACGCAGTCCCGCCTCACCAATGTGCTGCTGTCTCGGGGAACTGCAGGAGCAGCAGACAGACAGCTCAGACAAGCGACGCCGCATCCCACCCTGTACAGTTTTCATGGAGTTAAAACCTTCATTTTTGATCTTGTTTTTTTTCCCTCTCAGTCCCACAGCAGTGCTAGTGCAAGTTAACTTGCTATCACAGTGCTAGCTGAATTGTATGGAACGCAAAAATTAAGGAGTTGGGATGCAAGGACAGGGGGGTCTTTCTCTAATCTCAAAAGCAAATCTCAACTACACCAGCCATACCACAAGAAAACCAAAATAACATATTGCTCAGGAGGATACAGGAAAGAGAGGTAGCAAGACAAACAATAAGACTTCCTTTCTTTTTACAGTAAGGCTGTTTCTAATGCAGAGGTTGCACATGAATTATTTTGTAACTGCTTAAGCTATATATGAGAAAAATGTTTGCTCATAAAATGTATTATATTTGCTTGTTAAGAATAAAGCCTGATTCTTCTCTTTTAATGCTGTTGAGGGATTTAATCTGCATCATTCACAGAGTCTAAGTAGCATTTAAACCTTCAGGTTCAGTACAGCTTCACTCTTTTAATCACTTCCTCTCCCTCTCATTTGCTTTCTAAAGGACCTTAAAATAAACCTGTTGACACTTGTCTGGAGTTTTAAAAACTTAAATTTAAACAGGTGCTTGTAGGTTCCAAAGCATCCAAGGAAGT